CCCCCCCACCCCAGCTCCTCACAACCCTGCCTCCTCTCTGCAGGCCAGCGGGATGACCTCATCGCCAGCCTCCTCTCAGGTGCGGGGCAGGGCTGTGCGGGAGGGGAGTGGGGCGCTCCCTGGGGCCCGCCAGCCCCCGCCCAGCCCACCCGTGCTCTGTTGCGCAGAGGTGGCCCCGGCCTCGCTGGACGAGCTCCGAGGCCACAAGGCGTTGGTGAAGCTCCGGGGCCGGCAGGAGCGAGAGCTGCGGGAGCTGCGCAAGAAGCACCAGCGCAAAGCTGTCGCCCTCACACGCCGGCTGCTCGGCAGCCTGGCCCAGGCCCGGGCGGAGGGCAGGTGCCGCCCACGGCCGGGTGTCCTGTGAGTGTCCCGCATGCCCGTGGGCGGTGTGCCCTGGTGTGACTACGAGGGTGTGTGTGCATGTGGGGGTTCTCACTCGGCAGGGTGGGGGGAGTGTGGCGGGATGGCCGAGGGCTGCCCCTTGACCCCCCACAAGGAGTCAAGGTTTGGTGCCAGGGATATCGAGGAGCCGTCCCACGTGGGTCCCACCCTCTCTGCCAGGGAGCCAGGCCTCTGCTGGAGTCTCCCACGAGCAGCCTCTCTTTCCAGAAGCTGTTGTCCTACAGGCTCCCACATTTGCATGGGGCTAATGGACTTGTCGTTGGCATCACAGACCCTGCCCCCCACCCCCACCCCGCCCCAGCTGGTGTCTGCCGTTGCCTGTTGGGATCTGCCCTGCCCGCCGCTGCCCTCCCAGCCCAAGTCCATGTGACAACCTGAGGATCACCCAGTCGGGTTCTTCCTACAGAGGTGGGGAGAACGAGAAGGAGGAGGAGGAGGAGGCGAAGCGGTATCAGGAATTCCAGAAGAGACAGGTGCAGAGTCTCCTGGAGCTGAGGGAGGCCCAGGCCGACACAGAGGCTGAGCGGCAGCTGGAGCACCTGAGACAGGTGAGGTGGGCCAGTGGCCACAGGGGACGGCCCGCCTCCTGGACACACCTGGCGCTAGCCTGGGTTACCCTTTGGCCGCCTGTGTCCGCAGGCTCAGCAGCGGCTCAGGGAGATGGTCCTGGAAGCTCACACAACTCAGATCAAGAGGCTGAAGGAGATGAACGAGAGGTGAAGGCAGAAGATCTTGTCGGGGCTGGGGCAGGGGCCTCGCTTGTTCTCGGAGAGGAGAGGAGACCCCCGGACCTGCCATTGATCCTTTCTCCGCCTCCCGCCCTGCTCTTCCAGGGAGAAGAAGGAACTGCAGAAGATTCTGGACAGGAAGCGTCACAACAGTATTTCAGAGGCCAAGACAAGGGAGAAACATAAGAAGGAGGCGTAAGGGCCCTGGGGCCAGGAGCCGCTGGGGGGCTGGCAGCTGCTGGGGGCTGGGCAGGCAGGGCCGGGGGCCGGGCACCAAGCCCCCTCTGCATCGCTCCCTGCAGGGAACTGACAGAGATTAACCGCCGGCACATCACTGAGTCGGTCAACTCCATCCGTCGGGTGAGTGAGGCTCGGGCCCCACCTTGGCCCCAGCCCACCCCTCTCTTCCTGCAATCATGAGAAGCTTGTGTCCTGGGGCGCCTGTGTGGCGCAGTTGGTTAGGTGGCTGCGTTCAGCTTGGGTCATGATCCCCAGGGCCTGGGATTGGGCCCTGCGTCGGGCTCTCTGCTAGATGGGCAGCCAGCTTCTCCCTCTACTGCTTGTGCTGTGTTGCACACAGGCTTGCTCTCTCTCTCTCTCTCTCTCAAATAAATAAATAAAATCTTAAAAAAAAAAAAAAGAAAAAAGAAACTTGTCTCCTTAGTGCCTGGCCTATGGCTACATTGCCCTAGAGGGACTTCTAGAACCTTTTCCTCTGGGCTCTGTCTTGCCCCGATACATCCAGAGCCAACTGTCTGCAAAAGTGTCCCACAGCTTTGGAGTCTTTGGGTCTGGAAACTTTGCTATAAGGGTCACCTCAGAACCCCGGCCCCCCAGCCCTGGGAGCCTGCACCTGCCTGACCCCTGCCCCTCCCTTAGAGAGAGACCCTTGGTTGAGCCCAGCCCTCATCCCTACTCCCCCTGCAGCTGGAGGAGGCCCAGAAGCAGCGGCATGAGCGCCTTGTGGCTGGGCAGCAGCAGGTCCTACAGCAGCTGGCAGAAGAGGAGCCCAAGGTGAGGCCTGCCGGGGATGGTGGGTGGCCAGAGTGCCTAGGGGTTGGAGTGCTGGGGGGACCAGGCGCCACCTGTGTGACACCCCTCCTCCCTCAGCTGCTAGCCCAGCTGGCCCAGGAGTGTCAGGAGCAGCGGGCGAGGCTGCCCCAGGAGATCCACCGGAGCCTGCTGGGCGAGACGCCGGAGGAGCTGGGGGACGGGCATCTGGTGGCCTGTGCCAGTAACGGTCACGCACCTGGAAGCAGCGGGCACCTGTCCGGCGCTGACTCGGAGAGCCAAGAGGAGAATACGAAGCTCTGAACTGGACAAGCGCGAGAGGTGGCCGCAGGAGGGGTGCTGGGAGGGCAGGAAGCTAAGACACTAATGCTTTTTTTTTTTTTTTTTAACTTTCTATCTTTAGAAATTTTATTTTTTTAAACTGGGGCGAGCACCCCACACTAACTCCCTTTTTTCACCCTCCTGGGGCCCCATTAGTCCCCAGCCCCTCCTTCCTGCCTTCAGTCCTAAGGAGGGTGCTGGGTCACTGTGGGTCACCCGGGTTTTGCCCTCCCATGCTACCCACGCCCCAGAGTGGGAGCTGACTCCCTCACTTCCCCAGGGAACACTGGCAGACTTTGAGCTCTGGGAAGTAGGGGGTCATATGCTTTCTCTATTCTTTGGGAATTTTTTTTTTTTTTTTTTTACATGAATAAAAGTGGATTTCAGGGACCCTGTGTGCCATGTGGTTTGGGGTGGGGGCAGTTCTGGAGAGGACCCTGGGCCCTGGGCCCGGCTCTGCTGTTCTTCTGGGGGCTTTGGTTTCCTCATCTATAAAATGGGCTGGTGGGCATTGTGGGGTTGAGGTTAGGCCCCCAGCGGAGGGCTGCTAGCTTTCAACCTTGAGACCTTAGCTTTCAACCTTGAGACCTCATTGCTTGGGTCCTTGCAGATCCTCCCAATGACCTGACATCCAGTGGCCTCCCCCAGGCTTTCCTGCCTTTATGGCCTCTGTCCCTGACCCATTGCTTCTTGCCCCCCTCCCAAACCTCCACTCACATTACTTTTCTCCCTCCTGGGCTCTTCTAGTCCTCCCTTCACAGAGGCTCAGGCCTCTGCTTCAGGAAGCTTTCCCTGCCCCCCCTTCCTGTGGCCTGATAATGACCCAAGCACCCAGCATCTTCCGCCGAGGCTGCTCTGGGCCCCTCGTAGGCAGTCGACTCTAATTGGGGATGGACCTGGTCTGCTCAGAATTTGCCCGGGCTCACAGTGATACATATGGGGGGCCCTGGTGGTGACCCTTGGGAGAAGGGAAGCTGGCCATCACAGATGCTCACAGGGACTGGGAGACCCAGCATCCCCCTCATCCCTGTGAGGTAGATGTTACGCCTGTTTTACAGATGAAGTTAACTGAGGCCCAGAGCAGAAGTCACAGGTGTCTGGCCACAGCCTAGTCAGGATGTCCTGACCCCGAGGCAGGGCGGGCCTGGACCCTCTGTGACAGACTGTTTTGGCCTTGGGACAACCAGCGTGGAGTGGCACAGACCCTGCAGTGAGGGTGCGGCTAGGTTCTGCTGCAGGCGCAGGAGCTCAGGCTGGCACTTCTTCAAGGCCTCTCCCGGCTTCCTGGCGCTTCCCGGGCTGACGGCCTCCCTCCTCCAGAGGAAGGCAGCCTCTTATCTGGGCTTATCTCCTGCCAATTGAGTGTTTTCTTTCTTTGTTTTTGCTGCAGCCTCAGGCAAACAGACAGGGTGGGGAGGTGATAAAGGGCCAGCCCTGCACAGGGCTGGGGGCCTCTCCCCTTTGCCCTGTTCCCTCAGGGTTAATACCATGGCCCAAACCCTCCTTGCTTCTGTGGTCAGGCCTGGTCCTGTCTCCAAACTGGCCTACTCTATTCTGTGGCCAGGCCACTCAGCCACCAAGCCTTCTCTTCCTAATTTGGCTTGCTGCCACATGTAGAAACACTCCATGTCAGTCCCGGTCCTCAAAGTCCAAGCTAAACTCCAAACTCCCCAGGATGACATTCCAGCCCCCTCAGAATCCTGGCCTCTGCTGCTTCCCCCTCCCATTCTTCCATGGGTCCACTCTTTACAGGGAATGACAGCTCCCTCTTCCATATCGCTCTTCAATTCCCAGCGCTAACTCACCTCCTCCCTGAAGCCCTCCGGGACTTTCCCTTGCGGGAAGGTGCCGCCCTCACCCCGGTTCTGAGTCCCTATTATAGCACTCAGCTGGCGGTAATTCCACTCTGAGAGCCTGGTACTCCCCCTGCCAGGAAGCTTGAGGAGCTGTGGCGTAATTCAGCTCTCTACACCCTGTACCAAGCGCTGGCTGGTCTATAGGGGGCGCCAGTAAATCTTCCTGGAATTGAGCTCCGAGCTCCGCTCCCAAGTCCTGGTGAAGCTCCAGTTCTCCTGTGACCAGTCCACTCACAACCCTGGGCCCAACCTTCCGTTGCCCCCCTCCCCCGCTCTGAGCGTCCTGCCAGTTCCCTTAACAGAGCTGGCCCCAGGCCGGCCACACAGTAGCTGTTTGAAAGGACTGACCCAAATAGGAACAAATGACCCTCCCTGGGGGCCGGCGGCACGGTTTGCAGAGTGCGGAATTCCCGCGGCCGGCCGGCCTGCAGTTCCCAATTACCATGTTAGAGATAAGGACCTGCAGGTCCCAAGGCCCGGCTGCGCTCCGCTTTCCGGAGGCCAAGCAGCCCTGGCTCTCTGGTCGCCGCCTGGACCCGTTCCCGGTCTCGGTTCCAGGGTAAGTCGCTCAAAAAGAGCCTCGGTTTCCCTTATGTGTAAAGCGAGGACATCTTTTGAAACTGTCAGTGCTAGCGCTGCCCCTGCCTGCGAAGCCCCAAGCGACGGAGAGAGGAGACTCGGCGGCACAAACGCGGGCTTTATTAAGTACATGTCACTGCAAGCAATGGCCCCCAGCGACACCGCGGAGGAAAGGGTTCTGGTGAGAAGTCAGGATTTCGCCGAATTGCAACTTGCAGACGATGGGAGTAGCCCAGCGCCGGGGGCGGGGTCACAGTGCCACTTCCGGCGGCTAAGAGCGGATAAAACTTCAAAACTTCCGACGGGGACAAACCCCTCCGTGCTCTTCGTACACACCGGAAGGAAATCGGGCTTTGGGTCAGATCGCCTCCTTCGAAAAGGAAAGGACTGATCCTCTTTCTTGCATAAAGGCTGCGGAAAAGACTTCCGCCCACACCCAAGATGGCCGCCGGCGGCGCCGGGAAAGGGGGGGGGTTTCGGGCTGTGGGACGGGTCATTGGGAGGGGGCGGAGCCTCCTCTCCCCAAGTTCCGATCCCACCAGGACTGGATGACGCGCGTCCAACTGGGACTTTGTCGCATCTGCGTGGCTGTGCCCGCGCTCTTCGGGCGAGGAAGTCCCTTCGGGTGGGAAGAGAGGGTTAAATGAGTTAGCCTGTCGTGGAAGCCCAAGTCGGAGCCCTCCACCTCCGGAATCCCACCGCTGAGATGCCCGGGGGCCCTAAACCATAACTCCCCGCATGCCCCGTACGAGTAGCCTCCTGACCACTTACGGAAGCTCCAAGGGTCGCTTGGGCCCTTAGAAATGGGACTGGTTAGATCCCAGACGCACCCTGCCAGGGGCGCTGGGGGAGAACGCTTAGGACCTTGTGAGTATCAGAGCCCGAAACGTAGCCTAAGTAATTCTGAACTTGAGGCCAAAGAACCCGGATATCCGAAAGGGGCCCATCGGGAGCACAAATACCAGCATGCCTCGCGCCCCGAGCATTCCGGAAACTCAGGCGCTTTGGCCTTCTGACGCTCGGTCTGGACTACAGATACCGGCAGGCCCTGGGACGCAGGAAGAGTGGCCCGGGGCCGGGAGGGCGGGGGGAGGGGTCCCCGAACTACAGATCCCGACATGCTTTGGGGCCGGCGCTCACCTTGAAGGAGCCCTGGAACTCGTCGCTCATCCTCCGGAGCTCGCGGCCATAACGCAGTGCAGCACAAAGGTTGGGGGGCGCTGACCGCGAGCGTCCCCGGAAAGGGCTAAGCTCTTCCTCCTCCATCCCCTCATCTTCCTCGGTCCCCGCGGGGTACGAGCTATGGCGACTCCGCGTCTCCACAGCCCCAGCGCCTGCACAGGGGACGGGGGTGGCATGAGTCCCCACTCCTCCGCGCCTCCAGCTTTGCCAAAGCCCTCGGCACCAGCTCCCCGCCCGCTGGTGTCCATGGGTGCACAGTAGCTTGGCAGGTGCCTCAAAGTACCTCCGAGCCCCAGTTCAGTTCCTTCATATGTAAAGCGAGGGAAGCTCGTGGGGCTTTTGTGAAGATTCCCATTAACTTCTCATTAATCCCATAAATCTTAATTGAGCCCCAGTAATGGGCCAGGCCCTTAGTGTATTAAATGACCTCTGCTGCTGTCCGTGCCATAAAATAAGGTCATAAGTCGCAAAGCTATCAGCGCAAGGCCACGGGGCCTCAGGGCAGTCCTTGGACGAAATCAATCACTTGGATGAGATCTCCCGCCTAAGGCAGGGCTGAACTCCAGCTCTGCAAGTGACCTGCTGGGGCCCATTTGTTTCACTGTTCTGGCCTAGGGAGACCTTGGGCCCTGGAGAGCAAGGACCTGTCAGCAGCATGTCTGTACCTCCCAAGATACCTGCTTTGGAGAAGAGTCTGGAAGGGTCTGTTGACTTTTTTTAAGGTAATGATTATGGAGCACTTACTATGTGCCAACCCTGGGAATTCCCTCATGCTCCCAACCAGCCTAAGAAGTTGAGTCCTAACACGGCCTCCATTTTACAGACGAGAAGACAGAGGCTTAGAGAGTGGAGACTTGTCCACAGTCGCACAGTATGATGCTCTCAGGTTGGCAGTCTCTAGACTTCCAGAGCCCAGTGATCAACCAATGAGCTACACCTCTTCCCTTATCAGACCACCCTTCAGCTCTGAGCCAGTGTGCTCCCCCGTGTGGGGGTAGACCTGTCCCCGACTACCAGTGGCAGTGGAAAGGTCACATAAAACAATGTGAAAGTGCTCTGGAAACGAAGTACACGACAGGTTGTCATTCATGGTCACCTCTCCTGTGTTCTTAGTCTGTCTGACCTGTGTACTGTGTGCCGTTCCTCCGCTCCCGCCAACCCCACCCCCAAATCTAGACCAACAAAGACCTAGAACCAGTCCCAGGAGCAAAAACCCAGAGCTACCTAGTACTGTGAAAGCCAGCAGGGAAGTGGTGCAGGGGAAGGTGCTCAGGGCCCCCGGCAAGGCCCATCTGTCAGGAAAGGCATTTTGGAGGAAGTAAGATTTAGGCTCAGACTTTTTTTTTTTTGCCACGGCAAAACGGTGTCTCAGCCTCTCCCAAAGGACCTTACGCAAAGCCCTGAGGGTCACTTTCAGGGGCCATAGGGCCTCCAAGGGGCCCAGCTCCAGAGACGGGACTAAGAAAGCTAAGAAGGGAAGAGGGTACTGGATCCAGAAAGGCCTAGGCTAAGAGGGTGGTCCAAGCTCCTGGCTGTTCTGAGCCTTACTGAAGTCCAGGCCTGAGGTCAGGCAGGAACACCATGAGGCCTCCGAGGAGTGAGGTGGAAGTGGAGAACAGGAAGCTAAATCAGAAATCAGGACTAGGGGGCGCCTGGGTGGCTCAGTGGGTTGGGACTCTGCCTTCAGCTCAGGTCATGATCCCAGGTTCCTGGGATCGAGCCCCACATCCGGCTCTCTGCTCACCGGGGAGCCTGCTTCCCCCTTTCTCTCTCTGCCTGCCTCTCTGCCTACTTGTGATCTCTGTGTCGAATAAATAAATAAAATATTTAAAAAAAAAAAGAAATCAGGACTAGGGATACAGGCTGGAAGAGTCAGGAACAGAAACACCCTTGACAAGGACACGCCCACCCACAGAGCACTTTTCCAGTTCAGTAGGGTGTGGGGGCGGGGCAGACAGGGCCCCACCTCAACCAGTTTAATTTCCTGCTTTGTGATTTTAGCCCCCCACCTTTATTTATTTTAAGATTCTATTTATTTATTTGGGAGAGAAAGAGGAAGAGAATGCGTGCTCTTGGGCAGGGGGTGGGGCATGCTGAGTAGGAGCCCCACTGCGGGGCCATCCAGCCCACCTTGGGCCCTTCCTACTGGGGCCTCAGTGTCTTCCTCTATGAAATGGGGGCAGGGGTGGCTCAATCAGTTGGGCGTCTGCCTTCAGCTCTAGCCCTGCATGGGGCTCCCTGCTTAGTGTGGAGTCTGCCTCTCCCTCTCCATCTGCCTCTTTCCCAGCTCATGCTCTAATAAAATAAAATCTTAAAAAAAAAAAAAAAAAAAAAAAGAGGGGCACCTGGGTGGCTCACACGGTTAGGGGGTTAAATGTCTGCCTTTGGCTCAGGTCATGATCCCAGGCTCCCTCTTCCTCTGCCCCTCCCCCCACTCATGCTCCTTCTCCAATAAACACATCTTAAAGAATAAAAAAATAAATTAAATAAATGGGGGCAGTCCCCGTCTCCCAGGACCACCCCAATAACAGATGAGACAAGAAGAGAATCAGGTTCTGACCCCTTTGACATCCTGAAACCTCCCAGCTTCCCAGTGAGGCGGCTGCAAAGTCCCGTTCCCCCACTCCCCCACCCATGCTACAGAGGAAGAAGTGGAGGCACCTAGAGGTTAGGAACTTGCCAGAGGTCCTGCATCGGGCACACCCTCCTGGCCACTTAAGGGCTCAAGGAACGTCAGCTGTTCTCCTTCACTAGCTTTTAAGAAAGCGCACAACCACCACACTTGACAGACACCAGGTCCAAAAAAGTCAGAAAGCAAGTGACTTGCAGGTGGCCACTTGGTCTGGGCGCCATGCCTTCGCCCGGAAATCAGAAGAGCACTGGCCGTGTCAGTCAGGCTCACGTTCTTCACCTGAATCGATTCATTACGTCCCCACCACACCCTAAGAGGAAGGTTCCTTACTGTCCCCATTTTATGGAGGAGAAGACTAAGGCCCAGAGAGGGTAAGTCACTTCCCCGATGTCACCCAGCTTGTAGGTGGCAGAGCTGGGATCCAAACCCAACCAGTCTGGCTCCAGGGCCTGTGTCCTTAATGGTCATGCCCCCAGTTCCCAACATCCGCCCCACAGGCCACCTTGGGGGTGCCACTTAGGGAAGGCATCTCTGGGCCCTCCATGAGTGTCAGCCCTACCAGGAACCTATCCTCTGGGGCAGGCTGTTTCCACCAAAGCCATGGATTTCGCGATGCCAAGCCAGCCACCATCAGAATGACAACCATACATGTAAACTGAGCTTTTAAGTGTCCTTCTTGGGGCGCCTGGGTGGCTCAGTGGGTTAAGCCTCTGCCTTCAGCTCAGGTCATGATCTCAGAGTCCTGGGATCGAGCCCCGCATCCGGCTCTCTGCTCAGCAAGGAGCCTGCTTCCTCCTCTCTCTCTCTCTGCCTGCCTCTCTGCCTACTTGTGATCTCTGTCAAATAAATGAATAAAAATAAATAAATAAATAAAAGCGTCCTCCTTTGTACTGGAAAAAAAACCTGAGGAATTTTCCGTGAACACCCTGGGGCAGTGGACATAGTCACTCTGAACCATCCCACTCTCCAATCAGCTCTCGCCTGGCACATTCCCACATCCCGGGGCTGGACAGAAGGGGCCTCTCCCCACTCTGAGGAAGTGAGGTAGGAGGGAGAGGGAGCAGCTCCTGCCTGGGCTCGAGCTAGGGTGGGTGCTCAGGCTTGCCCACGCACACCACCCTCTCAGGTCGCCTGGGGCTGGGGTGGGGAGAGGGAGGGACCTCCAGTGGGAAGGGCCCCAAGCCCCAGGAAAATCTTAAATTCTTTACCATGGGGCCTCTGGGTAAGTGGGTGGGGGCCTGACACATCTAAGTTGATGCTTGGGAGAGCAACCTTACACACTTTAGCATAACGCTGGTGTTCCGGGCAGCCTGAGGCAGTGAAGCTTGGTCATAGGGCAACTCAGGGTTTGAATCCTGCTCTCCTGCCTGCAGGGTCTCACCTACCGCTTGCCTCCGGCTCCCAGCAGGCAGCCAGGCTGGTGGCCCAAGCTGAGCATGCGCGTGGGGCCCATCAGGTTCCAGCACCTGCAGGAAGCCCAGGCTCCTTGTCTACCCTAAAGCCATCTGGGGTATAGAAATACCTTACTGGCCTGCAAAGAACACACCCCATCTTGCTCGGAGCTGCTGAATCAGAAAAACACTCTATAGCAGGAGCTGGCAAATGTTTTCGGTAAAGGGCCAGAGAGGAAATGTTTTGGGCCACTGCAGGCCACACGGTCTCTGTGACAACTACTCAATTCTGTGGTCATTGCTTGAAAGAAGCCATGAACAATATATAATTGTGTTGCTGTATTCCACTAAAATGTTTATGTCAAAACCATTCTTAGCTCACAGGCTGACAAAAAAAATTGGGATTTAGGGAAACCTGGGTGGCTCAGTCAGTTAAACGGCTGCCTTCGACTCAGGTCACAGTCCCAGGGTCCTGGGATCGAGTTCCGCATCGGGCTCCTTGCTCAGCAGAAAGCCTGCTTCTCTCTCTTCCTCTGCCTGCCACCCTTCCTCTTCCCCTGCTTGTGCTCTCTCTCTCTGATAAATAAACAAATAAATAAAATCTTAAAAAAAAAAAATAGGGAGGGGTGCCTGGGTGGCTCAGTGGGTTAAAGCCTCTGCCTTTGGCTCAGGTCGTGATCCCAGGGTCCTGGGATAGAGCCCCGCATCAGGCTCTCTGCTCGGCAGAGATCCTGCTTCCTCCTCTCTCTCTGCCTGCCTCTCCGCCTACTTGTGATCTCTGTCAAATAAATAAATAAAATCTTTAAAAAAAAAATAGGGATTTAGCCTGTGGCTGTGGTTTGCCAACCCCTGCCCTAAATCCAACTGTGTCTGTTCTCTGCCTGAAACCTTCAACGGCTCCCCATTGCCAAGGAAGTAAAGTCCAAACTCCTTAGTGTGGCTTCCAAGGCCTTTACATTCTGGTTCTAACTTAACCTTTCCGTGTCCATTATCAGGAGGCATGGGTGGTCCACGTCTACAGCAGTCCTCAGCTCTGCTCAGGGTCTGGGCCAACAATTCACATTAACAACAAGAGCAACAGGGGCGCCTGGGAGGCTCAGTCAGTCGTGCGTCTGCCTTCGGCTCAGGT